TCGTGCAGTATGGAATTTGTACAACGACCCGTGATTGTCGTTGGGCCAAATTTGATTTTCGCCACGTTAAACGATCGTAGACTTGTCACTCTGGAAAGCTTTATAAATACCGCAACCCTAATCCCTCCCCCGTGCCATTACCTATTGCTTTCTTGGAGAACTTCAGTTCATAAATTATTTCTCTCCCTCAACGCCACCTGGAGACAAACGAAAGAATCTACTTTTATCACGTTAATTGCAAACCTTGATTTCACTTGTTGTAAAACAAGTTACAAAGATACTAATAACTTCTAATCAAAGCAAGCTACCTATAGAGATTACGATTAAAAAAAAACAAACTCGATAAACCATAGCAAATGGAATGCACCTGGAGAAATCATTTAACATCCGATATAACTCAAAAAACAACTAATTTTTACAACGATTAGAATACACTTGATTCATTAGTTAGGTGCCCTCGCTGTTGATCGACATTTTAGGTCGTAATCCCAATAATATACCAGGAAATTTGGCCGGTTTACGATATTTGGATCAATCCTAAACCCATATAGCAGTAACTAAATTAGCATGGCAAAATAATTCTCAGAACCCAGATAAATTTCAACTTCTAACATGAATGTAATTCCCCTGCATACCATGGTATCATTTGACTGGGGAAACCACGAGCTTTCAAGTGATTTTAATGTAAATTATCTTATTTATACCAGATTAAAGGAATACAAAAGTCTCTCCAGTATCATTCACAAAACCATTTGAAGATACCAAACGAATATTAACAACTTAACTACGTAATACGAAGTAACAGGGCCAAAAACTTAATTTTTCCTCTGGTAACTGCCGTGATTTTTTTTATTACTCTTTTTCTAACGTCATAATGGCCTTATCAACTACTCTTCTACCAGTAAGCCGAGTCATCGGTAAACCTTATTCAAATATCAGAATTAAACCTAAATTACTTTTGCAACACAATTAACTTATAAATCACGAAGTTTCTGTGACACCTCTCATAAGTAAAGCTGTTTTTAAAGACGCTCAGTTAAATCAGTACTGTCAACTGCTATTCAATGAGCACGTAATGGCACAGTTTCGGTGGCATATATAAATGTACATGATGATTACGCTGGGATTATGCAGAAGTAACACGAAAACACTAATTAATGGAACAGCCACTGCCAAGAAACCGAATATCTGACAATGTAAATATTATTTTGTATTTTATTTTAACCCTGTAACCGTACACGTCTCAAAACAATTAAGATATATTATAATTTTATATACTTTCACAACGAATAGACACTACTAATCATGTTGTTAGGAAAACACACAGGTTCGAGAAATCAATTACACAAAGATACGACAACCTATAACCACAGCACTTTCGAAAGGTGGATCTTTCTTCTTCTGGGGCAAACTAGGAACAAGATACTACAACTATTATTAAGCAGCACCAATAACATCCTGAGTATATTTTTTATACACAAAATTACCAAGTAACCAATGGTATGATCTTGTATGGAAATGTATACCACTGGAGTTTATGTCCACAAACACCCATTTGATAGTGTAGACTTTGCACCACAATGAATCACCAGAAAACATTTATTATTAAGGTGTACAATCACCTCGGACACTAATGCAAGCCATAAAATGATGCAATAAGTTTAAAATGAGTAAAACCAAGGAGTTTCTGGGAATACGGCCCATTCTTCTATCATACATGCTTACCAGTTCACTAATAATGGTTAGAAGTGAACCACGTGTTACAGGCGTCTTCAAAGAGCATCTCGTGTATGACCAATCGGATTTAAATAAAACAAGCGTGCTGGACAGTTCATTCACTCCATACCCCCCCCCCCTTTTCCAGGAAGTTTCTAATCAGCTGAGGCTGTTGGGCACGTGGATCATGCGTTACCAGTCAATATTGCCAATATTCATAAAGTGAAGTCAAATACTGAAACTGTATCGCCAAACTGATTACTGATTATCACGGGGTTTAAAACCCGGGTTTCTTCTTTGACAAAGTGATCTACATTTGTCACCCAGGCATTTACCTATAGAAGGTGAGACGTATGATCTGGATCGTTGCAACCAATTATTGCAGATCAGTACGTCACCATCGTATAAATGTTAGATTTGGTTCAGGTTATCCTCCGAATGCATGAACCTCTCTTATCTGGTCGTAGTGTGAATTCTGATTCGTATATGAACAAGAAATTTGCCCATATGTCGTTTGACCAATTCACACGTTCTTGACATCAGTGAAGACCGACCATTTTTCGCCAATATGGGGTTAGAAGAATGCTCTCCATTGGTCGACTGGCATTAAGGTCAACTTTATGGAGTCTGCTTCTGGCTGTTAACATTTTGCCTTGTCGTCCAGTTGATGCTCTGAACTATTAATTCAGTTAGGAAGCTGAAGCCCACCAGCTGTTAAATAACAGTCATTTCTTGGAGGTTGTCCGCAACAGCCTATCCTGTACAGGTTTCTAGGCAACTGACGTATACAGCGTGTTTCCTTCACTTTTATTTACCACATAAATGTGCATATTCGATCACACGACGAATCATCTGAACTCAGGAGGGCCAATGATGATAGTTAAAAACAGTAGTTGTGCCCTGTTATAGCCACAATATAGAAAACTACGACTGTTCCTTAACATTTGAGCAAGATGTCTCAAGATATGGCTCGTTAGTTCGGACAAGTATATTTTATACTGAAATAAGACTATGGTAAAACTAAAGACTTATTCAATTGGAATACGGCATCCTTTTTGGAAATGGGGAGTTTATGTGTAAAATCAAAGAACAGATTAAGTGAGAAAAACGGCAAGTACAAATTCTTTGGCCGACTGTAATATACATTACTTGTTACTGTGCACAATAACACACAAAATTCCTAAAGTTATATTAAACACTGCGTAGACAAAAATAAATGAACTCTTTGTAAGACAGGCAAAAGGAGTACACGCAAGTCCCACACGCTCGTTCAAACGAAAAGTATTTTTGTTTTTTTACGCCTCACGAAAAAGGTGAATATATATATATATATATACATGCACACACACACATACATACATACACACGTGTAGCTAAATATTTATATACATCCAGAAGAAATTGATAATACCGTCTGATTCATATACCTAGTGTAAGTAAGACCTCATGAAACATAATTTTGTTGAGAAATACTTACACGTTTCGCATAAAGAACCACGTTCTAATTTGTAGTTGTGCCCATGCAACTTCTCGATATAAACGAAGTTCTGATAATTCAACTATTTTTGGAGGTCCTAAATAATAGTGTTTTATTCATATCTATTGTAATTTATTTAAACGCTACGAAGGCTGTCTGCCGCCGTCTTTAATTTTGAACTATTGACAAGAGGGAAGGCAGCTAATCAGTAGCACCCTGCCACCCACCATTCATACTTATGATTGACTGTCATTCTTATAATGCACCTACAGCTTAAAATGAGTGGGAATATTTTGTGGTACGGGACGGATTCATACCCGACTCATCAGCTCCGAAATCCAAAGCTCTACTATAGGACCAACTCATAACACCTCGTCTGGCCTGCGCAACGACACGAACATTTCTTAGAGATCAGGCGCGACCTATGTTTCTCAAATTCCCTTTCTCTTATTATAATCAATAACTGTCAGCGGTTAGTAACATACAAGAGACTGTGGATATCATTTTAAATGGCAGTAAACAAGGTTCTTGTGGGTGTTTCAAATATCACAATTTATTACAGATAACTATTTTAACTGAAGTAATACTTTTTATTGGCTAAACTGTTTCTTGGACAACAAAGCTTTTAAGCGTATCAATTATGAAAACGAAAAGAAAAAAGATTAAACAACGGTACGGGAGTAGCTAGAGCTTTTTTCTTCTTCTGGGATATGCCCCCCCCCCTCACTTCTCCTTTTTTCCAAGTCTACCATTAAGGCACTTTTTCATATTTTAAAATAGGGTTGCATCCTTGTTTATTTATATGAAATTCTATGTATATCAAATATTATTGTCAGTAAATTAAACTAACAACACCTATTAGGTGGTGTTATTTCGCATTTAAAATAATTATAAAAATAACTTTTAATTTGTTTACATCTAAGAAAGATCACTCTAAAGATGAGCACAATAAAAAAACTGGAAGTGGAAAGTTGTTCACTTTTTAATATTTCAGCAAATATCACTTGATTATTTTCAGAAGTACAAAAACTTTGCAAATCCACACACAGTGACTACTAGGGATTTAATATTAAATGATGTTTCATTACCTAACACGAATACCATAACACTATTTAACAAATTGCGTATTACTTACATAACGTCTAGTACTGAATCATCCCCGCAATGTTTCTCAAACATCAATTTCTCACTGTTATAATTCATTTTCAAGAGTTATTTTGCAATCACCAAAAGTCCACGTAAGAAAACATTCTATTAACTTAAAACCTAAACTGATTTACTAAAAAACTAAATCAGTGATGCTTCTACATATCCTACCATCTCATGTAGTCAGTGTCACATTCTGTGAGACTAACTCCTGACATTTTGTATGAATCGTGGAATATTTTTTTTCACTAACTATATATATGTGTGGTTTCAAAACGTTCGTGATACTAGTGCCATCTATTGCTATTTAATCGAACCAAGATGTACCTGTAGGTATGCTGGTGATGTTATTTTTTTACTACTACTGGAAATTAAAACAGATGACTTTTGGACTTTTAAACTTAAACTCTCAATATGTTGATCTTTCACTCATTATGCAATTCTCAAAAACCACCACAAATTTTATTTTTCAAATATTGGCCTTCTGAGATTTCATTGTAAACTTTTTTTTATACACTTATAAATTTTGAGAAGTATCTTACTCAACTAAAGAGATTTTTAATTTTGTAGTCTTTTAAAAAAATCATTTACAACATTATATACTCTTATAGGTAATATTAGGCTTAATTATTTGCCACTAACACCAATTTTTTCAACTTACCCAGATGCTGGGTAAAAAAAATCACAAGGTGACTCTCCTCCCTCTAAAGGTGGTGAATTACAACGAGGTTTTTTTTCTGTACAGGTTTTTTTTTCATTCTGTATGTCAGGGATGGCAGAATTGGGTGGACTGCATCTATCGTCATCTTCAAGCCACATTTTTAATCATTTTCAAAGTTATGATTATCTACATAACATTTTTTGCATCTCATCTGACTTTCCATTCTTTACTTGTAAACCAGTCTTAAAACTTGGACGTTTATGAGCTAGAAATGTATAAAAAAAATTACAGAACTTTTGTTGCATTACAAACACTCAAAACATCTTTACATTTAAGATGCATGTACTTAGAACAGAAAAATTCATACAAGAAATATCAAACTCTCAGTATACAGAATATATAATAGAAAAAATGTTTTTGATTAGATGTAAGGTATGTTCACATTTAGTCTTTAGGGTTCAGAAAATAGCCACAAAACTTATCCAGATATAAACATTGTGCTCTTATTCTAAAAAACAACAATTCACATTAATAATTACATAAATACACTGAAAGGCCTAGTGTAAAAGGGGTGGTATGTAGAAATAGTTTAGGTTGAGGTACTTGACAGAAAACAAACAAGACACTCATTAGCATTTCCTAGACATCTCCTGATTTGGACTTTGAGTCTGATACAGGTATATTAGTTAAGTTACCAACATAAACAGAATTTAACATTTTCCTATACCGAAAATGTACTTCCAATAATACTTACCTCCCCTCACACTTTATCCCAAAGAAAGTTTCTCTTCTCTGCCCATCTGAGCATTGGTATGAATCTTACCTCACTTGCTCCAGCCCTTATACTCCACTATATAAATCTTGTGATTCTCTCCACCTACATCAGTGCACCCCTATCCCAGAACCTTGTATAAGCTCCTTGTTATTACTTCCTATTAAATTTTTGAGATGGTCCAATTAGTAGACGTGAAACCAGCCAGTCTGTGGAGAGGAAGAGTGTGAGAAGAGGTAAGTATTATCGTAAATACTTTTTCAGTATAGGAAAATATTAACTTCTGAAACACACTCATCCCTTCTCCCATTTTAGCTAGAATCCGACATTGACAAGGTGGAGGGGCTGGTGAGAGCAAAATCCACACAGTAAGTGTGTGTGTAGAAAAGAGGTATGTGAAAATGAGATATAATGCATGCAAACTAGTGGGGTCCGCACTACTTTTTGAACCCGACAACATGAAATCTAATTCCTGGGCAGTAAAGACCAACCAGTCACAAATGTAAAATCTTAACATTAATAGAAGAACATGAATGCATCCAGGCCCCAACCAGACAGAAGAAATCCCATATCTTGTCATTGGAATTATAGAGCTGTGGACCCAAATATAGATCCAAGACAGTGGCTAGAACACGAGGTTTGCTTTGTATTTAGTCTTGTTTAGTAATGCAGTATTATTGGAACCCAACCTGAAAGTTACAAAATGTTGCATGTCGAGCCAATGGAATTACGAAGAGAAGGCAAGCAACCCAAAAGTGTACAAACCCTTGCCCCAATCTAAAGAAGCCAAAATACAACAAACTGAACTTGGAATTATGGAACCCATCATGCTTCACTCAACTTGAAGAGTTTCCTGGGCATGGGATTACAAACAAGGATCCTAACTCCTCAACATGAGAGGAAAGACAACACCTTCTGCCCCCAAAATTACAAGGAGGATGTGGAACAAACTAATTCCAACTAATGGCACAGGAATTAAGGCTCTGCATGCAGGATTACAAAGAGTTGATTGAGGACCCTCTTCCATGATCATTGAAATGAAGGGAATGACCAAAAAGAAGGGCCATGATCAACTTAACCAGATAGAGAAGAGTTATCTCTGAATCCGAATTATGAGGAGGATCCAGCATAGGCTAGTCCTGCTCCTACCATACATCTGTAAAAACCATCCAGTGTTATCCATATGGCACTTGGCTTTGCCCTCTTCTCCTTAAGTGGAATAATGAGTTCAAGCATTACTCAGGAGGAATAAACCTCTGTCCACCACTCTGGAAACTGGAATTGGTAAGGACTCCCATGCACCACTAGGCAAAATGGGGGAGTTACTTGCTTTGGGGAGTCTGGAGGAACGATACTTCAGAGACAGTGCAATAGGTGAACCACATTCCCTATTTTGAAAAGCAAACCATCCCTGATTTATTCAATCTAGGGGTCAGCAGGAATGGGCAAAATCCCTTTATGCTTTACTCATGATAGTCCATGAGTGGCAGCCCAGTAGTGTATTTGTCTTATAATTGTTTACCACCTGGAAAGTGCACAAGGTAGTCTTATGGAACACACCATCTCAACAGAGCTCATTGCTACCAGGAAATTTTCTATTGGTTGAATGGTAGCTAGGGTGGATTTGAAAGGAAGCATAACTGACCAGGCAACACCTGCCACTGAATGGAATCCAAATGAAAATGATGAAAGGTTCCCTGAAAAAAGAAGAGAAAGAAACACAAAATATTACTGAAATTACTTTGGAATACTATTACTTCAAAATTTTTATTTTTATTTTGTAAAATAAAGAAAATAGACAAACTCCATACCCATGAAGACAGATCTAAAAAAGGAATCATCGAAAGCATAGGTATAACTAAAGAGAAACCTGCAGCAAGTCTGTAAGACCATCATTGTAATGTACTACCATTGAGAAAAGTGAACAGGGAGTAATAATGGGGAACTTGTATACGAATCTGGGATAGGGGGCACATCGACATAGATGGAGAGAATCACAAGATTTAACTTGCATTGGGCAATATAAAGGGGTATAAAGGCTGGAGCAAGCAAGATAAGATTCATACCAATGCTTAGATGGGCAAAGAAGAGAAACTTTCATTGGGGCAAAGCTACAGTGTGAAAGGAGGTAAGTGTGTTTTGGAATTAATGTTATTGTAGACTAATTCTGGGAAATCAGTTGGTTAAATTTGTCTTGTTTGTGTTAAAGATGTTTCTAAGAAACTGAGACATGAAAGATATCAATCAGACTGGATTACCATCAATACTAGTCTGCCTCAAGAATCACCACTCTCTCTAGTCCTCTTCAATATCCACACCATAGATCTAACCCATACTGACAACCCAACAAGGTTCTGTGTGCTAACCATTGTTGTAGACATTCTGGTGTACATTTGGAATTGAAAACATGACATAACCACCTTTTTGTGGGGTGAGCCAACTGTACAATGATACAGGAATGGTTGTCAATCCTGCTGAAGCCACAGCCATCTTGTGCATTCTTGCACACTGAACAATGCACATGCTGATGAGGACAATCTATTACAATCCTTTGCTGTACTGCCATTCTTCAGAAGAAACACTAAAGCATTTAGGCCTAACCTTTGAGAGCCAACCAAATCTCACCAGCCACACTAACACTATGTTAACAAGACCTGCTAAAGGTATCAATGCACTGAAAGTTGCAGCAGGAAACCAAGTCAAAGAATGTCACTTGCTTGTGCTCTACTAAAGTGTTATCCACCCTATCCTGGATTATACACTACTGATGATCAATAGGAGTGCTACATAGCTATATAAAATTGAGAAGCTACAAAACACCCATTTAAGATTGGTCATAAAATGCACTTTAACCACCCTAATCAAGGATCTATTACACCTAACTAAGCACTTACAAGGTATTATACTGCTGTTATAAGGTACTAACAGCACTTATAAGCAAAATTCTTCACTAGGAACTTGCAGTATAAACCATTCATTCCAACATCAAGCCTTTGCTTTTTTCAAGTATGATATTCTAGCTTTACAACAGCCATGTGAGGGATTGTATAAAAGATGCCCCAGGAGACAGTCATGGGTAGACACAAGCTATACAGCCACCACTGAGAAACTCTATCACAAGTAGTTCTCATATGTATATGTGTAATAAACACCTGGCACCAATGGCATCTGTGGAAATCAACCGAAACAGAAAATGTAGATACTGGGCTAAGGGTTGTCATCTTGAAGCTTTTTATAAAACTCAGGGACCTTTGCCAGGATTTTAATTATTTACAATATATTTGGCCTTTATCAAAAAAGTAATTAAACTATTTCATTCCTTATACTACTAAAATGACTAAATAACAATGTGAACACAGGAAACTGCTAAAACTTTAAGCATTTGAATGAACAGCTTTGTTATTATAAATTATTTTATCTTATAAACACCTGAATCACATCCTTTTTCTTTTTTTTTTTGTCTGACTGTGTCATCATTATCCAGCAAGAAGGATTGTTCAGTTTCTACAGTGCAAACATGCTTTATATTAGCTTTTAATTAAATTTAATCAAGAAACTCCATTGGTTAAAAATTTTCATGCAATTTGGCTATGAACTGCCACTGTAAGAAGAAAAAAATCTGGGAATATCAGTGACATTCTTCCAGTCTAGAAAGGGTTAGTACAGTCCAAAAAATCTGAAGATTCTCTTCTTTAAATTCTGGGACTTGGGAAGCCCTAGTAGCATACAAATTCCTGGAATTGCAACTCCTAGCTGGCCAGAGGGTGAAGCAGAAAAGGCTTTTCAGCCCCACTTTAAAGATCATGGTATACAGTCACCTGTCATCGTAGTCATATGTATGTCCTACACCAAACATACTGAGAGAGCTGATTAGGCATTCATCATTTGACAGGGCAACAACAATCTTCATAAGGCTGGTGGAACAATCAAGGTTCCACAAGCATAAAAATTCAGCATCTGTCAGCACAACCACTGGGATTGTCACCTAGCACTAAAATGAAGAAATTATTTTCACTCTCAACATGACAAAGATTCTATAAAAGGAGATGGTATTGTAAATAATGATGATGAATATGCAAGAACTAAATATAGATAATGCAAGAAGAAAGCAAAGAAACTAGTTGCCAAAGCAAAGCCTGGAAAGAGTGGTATGAAAATCTGGGAAAGAGAGCAGGCAATATATAGGATAGCAAAATCAAGTGAACAAACTAAAAGATATGTTGGAGAAATATCATAAAGAACAAACAAGGTTGTATTTAAATTGATTAAGAGGAAATTAAGAAGAGATGGAAAGAGTATCATGACAAATTGATGAATGTATAAAATGAAAGAGGGGTGGAAGTGGAAGTCATGGAAGGTCCATTGAAAGAACTCAGAAGGTTGGAGGTGAAGAGAGCCATTGATAAAATGAAACTTGGAAAAGCAAATGGTCCATCAGGAGTTGTAATGGAAATGATAAATACTTTGGAATGAGAGGGCACAGTTCTGCAAGATGTATGGGAAGACGAGAAAATATTTTCATATTTAGAGATAAGCATATGGTCCCTATATACAAACAAAAAGACAACATAGTAAATTATGAAAATTAAGCTAACTGAATATATTTCAAGTGTTTCAAAGGGTAGTAGAATATTGGTTAAGGTAAGTTGTAAGGATTTATGAAATGCAGTGTTCTTTTAGTCCTGGGAAGGCAACAGTAGTGAATGCTATATTCATAGCCAGGTAGCTGCAGGAAAAATGTTGATGTCTGTGGATTTGGAAAAGCATATAATAGGGTGCCACAAGAAATCATTTATTGGTGTCTCAGAAAGAAGGGAATCCCAGAGAAATTGGCAAGGATAGTCAAAACAATGTATGATGAAGCAATGACAGCAGTAAAAAGAGTACAAGGAAGAACTTAAGAGCTCGAAGTAAAAGTAGGTCTACACCAAGGAATGGTTTTAAGTCCTTTCCTATTTGTGATAGTGATAGAGGTTTTAAGTAAGGAGACAAGGAGAAAAATGCTTTGGAACCTCTTGTTTGTGGATGATTTGGTTATAACAGATGAGACAGGAAGGGGTACAGAATGTGGAAAAAAATCTAGAGAGGTGGGTTAAAGGTAAACACCAAGAAAAACACAGTAATACTAAGCAGCAGAGGCGGAAGAGTTACAAATAAAATACAGTAACATCTTTGATAAAATAAAGTCAAATATATTTAGGTATCTAGGCTCCAGCATTAGTGAGGAAGAGGCTGTGAAATATAAGTAAGGAAAGGAGTAAGAGCTACATGGAATAAATGAAGGGAAGTCTCTGGGTGACTGTTAACAAGGAAATACCATTAAAGCTTAAGAATAAAATTTAGAAAATAGTAGTTAAGCATTATGGTGTAGAAAGCTGGGCTACAAGAAGAAAGGAGGGGGTATTTTAGAAATATCGGAGATGAAAATGTTAAGATGGATGCAGGTAATATCTTTGAGAGAGATTAATGAGTGATGATATCATGAAAAAGAGTCTGTGTCTGTAAAGTCTCAGAAAAAGCAAAACTGAGATGGTTTGGGCATGTAGTAAGAAGTGAAGAAGAATGTGCAGTGAGAACAATACTGGAAATGTCAATGGATGGACAAAGAAATAATACAAATATGGTGGACAGGGATATGAAAGAGGTCAGTGCAATTAGAAATGAAGCACAGGATCATAGTCAATGGAGAAGAAAAGACCGGTGAAGTTGACCCTTCAAAACCATTTTAACTTTCAAAATATACAAGTCCTCATACACCATTTCTAGCTTTACTCAAGCCTTCAATCTTATAAAAGAATGGGTAATAGATTGAGTAAAATATTTGTATAAATCATTTTGAGAAATTTCTCGAGATGTTCCTCTGGAGGTTCAAGCATCCTGAGGTTACTGACCACTAGATACTGTAGGTAAATATCAGGTGCTAAAGAAACAAGTTTCTAGATTGTTTAAGTACAATTGGCTTACACCAATAAGGCTTTATAGTATATAGGATAAAAGTACTAAATCTCTTAACAGTTAAGTTTTGGAAAGACTATCAATACTTCCACAAATTTTAATGCACCAAGTTAAGAGAAAAAAAACCCCATTACCCCACAATAAAAACAACCCTGGCTTTGGTGAGAATACATTTCAAATATGTACACAAAGTTTTTCATTAGATAAATACAGAATTACCAAAATATATAGCAAGATATATTTAAAATCTTGTCCAAGTTTTAAAATTGTAAACAAAATAAAAAATTTTGTGAATCCAAGAAAAAATTAAGAGTATGTTATTATACTTATAGTTATACTAAATGTTACATTTTAGAACTACATTTTTTCATCTTCCATGGTACTAATATCACTTGCTTAAATGCCAAACTAAATATGACCAAGTTAAACATTTTAGTATAAAAATTATGCGTAACATCACTTAAGTATAAATCAATCTACATTGACACAGGCTATGTTTAAGTTTGAGCTCAAAGTACGAAAACCTTAAGATTATAAACAAGTGTTTGTATGGAAAGAAATTCTGCATTTTTATTTCTTTCCAATTTAACATAAAAACTCACTTGCAATTTTTTTTTCAGTGAATGCCTCAACAGATTTTAAATGCCTTTTCTTTCTTTTTTTTTTTTTAAGAGTTCTTATAAAATACAATTTAACTGTATACACGTTAGAACTTACAGCAAGTTTTGTCCTTTGGATTAACACAGCTAATGTTATAACTGATAAGGCTGTGCTACTCAGCTTAAGTTACAGTTAATATTAGCGGTATTCGAATTACAATGATGAAACAGTGAGATTTGGAATTGTAAACTGCATTTCACCTAAAATATTTACAAAAACATGTAGAGATTGGTTTCACAAGATTACGTATTTAAGTACAAACACTGACAAGAAAGTTAATTTTTATGTAATATGTTACGTGCGTGAAAGAAAGGGGAAATTATATATATCAAATTTCCACAAACACAAGGAGTTCATAATTCGTCATTAACTGCCAGCGTCAATGTAAAATGACTAATAATTTTCCAATACGAGTCAAGACTTCATATTTGTAAATCATCACTAAAAATAAAATTTAAATGCAAGAGACCGTAGGCGTAACTCAGATAGGTTAGAAACGACATTATTAACACAAATAAAGCTATTCAAACTAAAATTTATTAAGGAAATTTGTTGAAATGCAAATTAACGGCACTTACCTTCTACATTTAGACACATACAACTAGTAAACTACTCACGAGTTATGATCTAATTAAGCATTGACAACTTAGATCTCTGCAAGCAGAGCCTTATATCAGCAAGAAGGTATGCGCGCCATCTCGTGATGTCGTTCAGTTTCGTATTTGATGACACTAAATATTAAAAGGGGAGGAAAAGGTTAAATGCTCCTGACCCTCCCAGGTTTATAAAACCTAAACTCCGATAAAGATTACAGACAGATTTATTAAAAGTGAGAAAGTTGAATGTAATATAATTTCAGACCTATAGTAAGTGTAAAAAAAGAAATAAATACCTTATAAGCCTAATTGACTCTGGTATTTCAATATTATAAGGAATTATGAAATAAACATTTATAATTACAGGTGTAATCTGAATTAAGCATTTGATATTATTTAAGTACAATATATTGACACCAGGAGAGGTTGTCCTCCGAGTTTCGTCGGAACGAAGTTACGAAAAGTTAATTGACAAACGGAGACGTAACAAATTGGTGTCAGAGAGTGGGACAGAAAAAAAAATGGAAACGAGAAGCGGCAAATCAAACTACAGCCTAGCAGACTTGATGGCAGCAATACACGAACAGCAAAAGAAACAAGAAGAACGAGAAGAGAAATTGCAACAGTTGTTAGAAGAAAAAGAAAAGAAACAAGAAGAACGAGAAATTAAACAAGAAAAGAAACAAGAAGAGAGATTACAGCATTTGCAAGAAAACCTGCAACAGTGGCAGCTCGAACAGCAAAATAAACAAGAAGAGAGATTACAGCATTTGCAAGAAAACCTGCAACAGTGGCAGCTCGAACAGCAAAATAAACAAGAAGAGAGATT